CTAAGTCCATCCACAGACCCAGATTAAGTCCCAGGAAGAAAAAGAGCCTTGCCACAGGTCACTCAGGTGGCCAGCGGCCAGGTTCCTGGAGACGTCATCAAGGCCTGGCCTTTAGAAGCCCACCTGTTTCTTTCTACAAGCCCAGGTCTACACACAGCCTCCATGCTGCTGAGCGCCTAGCAGCCTTCCAGCCGCTCTCCCTACCTGCTGTTTGGCCCCAGCACCCAAGCTAGCCAGTTCCCAGAGTACGTTTCTCTGTTTGGGCCCCAGTGGTTTTCCTGGTTGCACTAGGAACCCCATTCAACTATAAGCTCTGGATCCAAAATCCAGTCCCGTTTTCTGCACCGTTGGATCCCCCATGCCTGATAGTATAAGCATTCATTCGTGGCATTCACTCCTTTAAAAGCCACCCTCTCTCTGGTGAGCTTTTCTATAATGGGACCTGCCCCAGTGGTCTGGTGCAGCAATTAAAGAAAACTCAGTGAGCGCCTCTGCTCAGCCCTGTGCCAGGCAGTGCTAGGGACCCAGCAGCGATGGAGATAGCCCTGGTCCTGCCCTCTGGGGCTCACGGTCCATCCCCAGATGATAAGAGCCCACAGTGAGCAGAGCTGGGACAGGGGAGCCCCAAGAGGACACCTGAGCTGAAACCACAGGGAGATGAGTAGGGGTGAGGTAGCAGGGGAGACACTGATCCCAGAGAAAGGAAGAATATTTGCAGAGGCCAAGAGATGTGCTGGCATGGCCTGGTTCTGGAACTGCAGAGGTGAGGCTGACTAGATCTTGAGGTTTAGGGGAAGGGGCCTGGTCAGGAGAGGTCAGATTAAAAGCATTAAGAATACCATGCCTGGGCCCCACCCACACAGGGTCTCCTAGGCCACAGTAGATTGGACTTGATACCTTGAGGGCCCCTGGGAGGTGTATGGGGTCAGGCTGAGCTTTCGAAAGGACCCCTCCTTAGCCTGCTATGGAGGGTGGATTAGAGGGCTGGGTGGAAGGCCCAGGGGGAGACTTGGGTGGGGCGGGGAAAGGGGGGTTGGTTGTGGACCCTTTTAGGCAGAGCAGGCAGGAGCCAGCCACTAACTGGAAGGGAGGAGGAGGAGGAGCTTTCTTGGTTTCTGGTAGGTTCACTCTGGCTTCTACACTGTCCTTACCTTCTACACTCTCCTCTGCTCCTTTGGCCTAGATACCTGCCCTAACCCGCTCTAGTCTCCTTCCTGCCTGTGTTCCTGCAATGCCTCCATCCTTCCCCTGTTCCTTATAGGAGCCCCCCTCATTCCTTATAGGCACCCACACCTGTTCTCCATTAGCCTCTCAAGGATTGGGGGCCTCTCTTTTGGCTCAATAAAGACTTCCTGGTTGACAGACTCACATGGCAAGTGGTGTTTGGGGAAGAAGGGGTTCAGAGGCAGTACCTGGGGTCTCCCCATTACACAATGGATTGGAGCACCGCCGATCCCACTGATTTTGGGGTACCACTACCCATTCCTGAGGGAACAGACCCCAAGGCCTGCCCTGGCCTGCCTGCCTTCGTGGATGCCCCTATTGTGCTGGCCCTCCCTGGGCCCTTCCTGGCACTGGGTGTTGAGCTGGGGAGCGCTTCATCTGCCCAGGCTTCCTCCTCTTGCTCCTTCCTCCCTTGTTATTTTGTGTGCTGTGCCTCCCACATGCGTCCACATCTGGTATCCCTCCAGCACCAGCACAAATCCTTATGCTCTGGTCAGGATTGGGAGTGGGCAGCCCCTTGACCAGCCTGCTGGTGGAGGGCATCTCTGGTCTCCTACAGGGGGTCTTACGGAAGTCAAAACTGCCTTCCCTCTCTGGTAGGGGTGGGAAGGGCAAGCCAGCATGGGCCCCCAGGCATTGGCAACCTGTCTCTCCTGCCTCGGCCTTTCCGTGGGTTGCCCCCAAAGAAAAAGGGCCAAGGTCTGCCCACCGTGGGGCTTCCAGCAACTGGACATGTCTTTTCCCTTCGACCAACACCCCAGGCCACAGTATCCCCTCAGGGACCTGCTGGGTGGGGAAGTCTCTCTCGTCCAGAGCTTCAGGAATGAGGGCCAGGTCTCCACTCACGTGGGCACATTAATGGGGCTGAGGCTCTCTAAGGGTGGTGGGGCTCCCACCTTCCCAGGGGAGCTGGGCAAAGAGGACAGGCCCACTCTCCGCCTCCTCGCAGCCACCAACCTGTGCTTTGCGGAGCGGAACGTGTACACATCGGAGGTGCTGGCCGTGGTGATGCAGCAGCTGATGGAGCAGAGCCCCCTGCCCATGCTGCTCATGAGGACCGTCATCCAGTCTCTGACCATGTACCCCCGCTTGGGGGGTTTCGTCATGAACATCCTGTCCCGCCTCATCATGAAGCAGGTAACCCGCCCCCGGCCGCCCCAGTCCTGCAGGCAGTGGGCTGCGGCAGGACACACTGAAGATAGAGGGGAGGCAGGACCCCGGGCTTTTCCAGCCTGCTTGCCTCCCACCCTGCAGAGGGAGCCAGGAGGAGGAGAGCACACTCTAGGAGACCGGCCAGCCCCTTGCCCTGCCCGGGGCCAAGACAGTACAGCCCAACAGGGGTCACTGACTCGGCTCCAGGGCTCCAGATGGCAGTGTGATGCGTGAGGGCAGGAACAGGTGGTGGTAGGCTTCACCGGGTGGGCGTCCCAGGAGAGGCCTAGTGCCCCTTGCCGCCACCTCTGCACCCAGCCAGGATGCATACTAGAGCTGAAAGATGGGCCCATTTCTCAAGAGAAGCTAGAAATCTGGGTTTCTAAAAATACCGTGATGAAATTAGAAAAAAAATTCTCAAGCGCTCAGACTGGATTCAGCCCACAGGTTGCCACTTTGCAACATCCGGCTTAGAGGTGCGATGCAGATTCAGACAGCCCTGGGTTCAAACCTCAGTTCTGCCCCATGGCACCCACCTGACCGCGGATGAGCCCCCGCACCTTCCCAGGTCTCGTCTGTTTAGCAGGGCTGAGTCACCCCTTGAGGCTGCCGCAAGAGTGAGTGGAGACTGCTCACGTGAAAGGGTGTTCCGTTTTCTTCTCCCCTTTCCCTGGGCTGCCCTCATGCCTCAGCTGCTTGGGATCAGGAAGAGAAAGTCCTCTGGAGGGCTGGAGGTCAGGACTGTGGGTAGCCCAGAGGACTCTGTTGGATGGTAGGGATTTGGGCCCCATCTTGGTAAGGTTTGAATTTCTTTCAGTTTCTGGGGTGGCTTCCTGTGCACCCCCTCAGGACCGCTCCCTCCCTGCCCCGTCCAGGTGTGGAAGTATCCCAAGGTGTGGGAGGGCTTCATCAAGTGCTGTCAACGCACCAAGCCCCAGAGTTTCCAGGTCATCCTGCAGTTGCCACCCCAGCAGCTGGGTGCCGTCTTTGACAAGTGCCCAGAGCTCCGGGAGCCCCTGCTGGCCCACGTCCGATCCTTCACCCCCCACCAGGTACCCCAGGGTGTGGGATGGGTGGCCCCATGGGTTCAGCCCTGGAGGACTGGATGGGGGTGGGCAGAGGGGAGCCCTGCACTGCTGCAGAAGCTCAGAGGCGTCCACTAGGGGTCTTGGGTCTGGGCACTCCATAGAGCCCCCAATCTGCTCTTCCCCTAGCAAGCACACATCCCCAACTCCATCATGACCATCCTGGAGGCCAGTGGCAAGCAGGAGCCAGAGGCCAAGGAAGTACCTGCCGGGCCCCTGGAAGAGGTGAGGGCCCACAGCTCCCCAACCCCCAAGCCAGCAAGGCCCACCCTGTCCTCCTCCCCACCTCAGCCACCTGTCTGGTGGAGGCTCCTGCTGAAAGGGATGGGAGGTGGGGGAACAGTTGCCCCTTATGAACTCCCTTTGCCCACCCTGCTGTCTCCCCCAGGGTGCTTTCTGGCTCTTTGTCACCATCCTCTGACAGCAGCCTATGACCTGGCCCCCATACCCCCGCTCTGAGTTTCTGTGTGCCTTTCCCCACCCCCAGGACGACCTGGAGCCCTTGGCCCTGGCCCCGGCCCCAGCCCCAGCCCCCCGGCCCCCTCAGGACCTCATCGGCCTGCGGCTGGCCCAGGAGAAAGCCTTAAAGCGTCAGCTAGAGGAGGAACAGAAGCTGAAGCCAGGAGGAGTGGGAGCCCCCTCGTCGTCGTCCTCTTCCTCCACCCGGCCAGGCCCTCCCCAGCCCGAAGAAACCATAGATTTCCGGGAGGAGGGGCCTGAGTGTGAGACCCCGGCCATCTTCATCAGCATGGATGACGACTCGGGGCTGACCGAGGCCGCACTCCTGGACTCTAGTCTTGAGGGGCCCCTACCTAAGGTAGGGATGACAACCTCCAAGCAGCAAAGGAAGAAAACAGTCAGGGCCCCCGGGTGAAGGGTATATGCCAAGTGCCCAGGGTCGGGCGGAGGCGGGGAGGGTACAGCCCGAAGGAAGCGTGGAGTTAGGGCCACGCTAAGCTATCCTTGACCCGCTCCCCCTTCTCCTGTCACCAGGAGGCAGCGGGCGGGTTGACCTCAAAGGAGGAGCGCAGTCCCCAGACCCTCACCCCTGCCGGAGAAGACACCATGAAGACCCCCAGCCCCGCCGCCGAGGAATCCGGGGAACCCGAGAGCAAGGGGAACAGCTGACGGGGCTTGGTGGGGAAGGGGAGTGGGGCAGGGAGCTCGGGAAGGGCGGGGCGGGGCCTAGCCGGCGGGGCTTTGCCTTTAAAATTAAAAAGATCGCGAGTCTGGGGCGTGGATGCAGTCTCTCGTCTCTCCCTGCGTGTCCGCTGTGCGACTGCACGGTGTGGAGTGAACGCCCCCAGGTGCTGGCTGGAAGACTGGCAGGCCCTCGGTCGTGGGGCCGCGCCTGCGCAGAGACCAGCTCCTCGGCCCCGGCGTCCGCGCGCGCCCTCCCCTGGTAACGGCCCGCCCCCTCCCTCCTTAGAAACGGGCGCGGCTGGCGTAGAGGCTACAGGGCGTGTGCTGGCAGGCGGGCGACAGGTCTGGCCTGCCTGTCTGCAAGCCTTCCTCCTGGAAGTCTGCGACCTCCTTTGAACTATGGGGGACCCACCGCCCGACCCTGAGCCCCGTCCCCAGCAGCCCTCAAGTCGGAGGAGTTCCCAGGTCTCCCAGCGGCGCAGTCGGGAACTCAGTCAGCCCCCGCCCACCATCTCCGAGGAGGTGCCGCCGATAGCCTTTGACGGCCGGGTCCCGCAGAGCGGTCAAGGGATCCTGGCGAGCCAGACCAACCTCCAGGACTGGTCATCAGGGCCCCCCCTGACCCAACAGGAGGTGTTCCAGGCTGAGGAAGCCCAGTTGGGTGGTGTAGAGTACCCGTCCCTGAATATGGGCTTTCAGCCCCAACCTTATCTGGAAGAAGGCGGGATCCAGGCCGCCCGAAACGCCAGCCTAATGCTGCAGCAACTACAGCAGGGCCAGGGCAGCCTCTTCCAGCAACTGGACTCTGCCTACCTGGAGACCCAGCCCAACTTCTTGGGCCAGTTCAACATGTACCAGGGAGAAGACCTACAGTTCAACCAGGGTGCCCCGCATGGGCCCTACATGAGGGATGACCCCGCCCTCCAGTACTCGCCCTCCGAGCTGGGCTTCATGCCCTTCAATATGGAGGTGCCTGAGCCAGAGCCTCGGGAGCTGGCCGTACAGAATGCCAAGGCCTACCTGCTGCAGACCAGCGTCAGTTGCAGCCTCAGCCTGTGAGATGGGGCTCATGAGTGGGGAGGGGAGGGGAGGGGAGGGGAGGGGAGGGGAGGGGAGGGGAAGGGATGGGACCCAGGCAGGGAAAGGCCCCATCCAGCCAAGACTGCCTCAGGCTCTGGGGTCTCTTCTGTCAGACGGGATCATCCCTCGTGGGTAATCAGTGCCTGCTCCAGGGGCATCTGACTCAGTCTAGGAGTCAGGGGATGAAACTAATAATAGCTAATATTTAGTTTCCAAACGTCATGCCACCATTCACACGTTAACATCTAGTTCTCACAGCTGAGATTAGCACACCTACTGTCCCTGTTTTACAGAGGATGAAACTGAGACAGAGAAATTAGGTCCCGAATCCAAGATGATAACAGCTAGGATGTGGCAGATGCGTGTGATTTGGCTCCTGAGGCCCCATTCTCCACTAAACTTTTCTGCCTGGGGAAGGCACTTGCCAAGGCTGGTTAGCTGTAGTCAATACACTTCTCAGTCTCCATTACATCTTAGTGAAATTTACATTCTAATTGGGAGAATGGACAAGATAACAAGTGATAGGTGATGATAAGAGCTAAAGTGGAAAAAGTAAAGCAGGGTAAGTGAGGTTAGGGAGTACATGTTAAATAGCATGAGGTGAAGGAAAGCCTCAGAGGAGGTAACATTTGATTAGGGACCTGAAGGAGATGAGGGAGAGCACCTTGGAGATAACTGGAGGAACAGTGGTTCAGGTATAGGACACAGCACGTTTAAAGGCTTTAAGGCTTGCTGTGTCTGAGGAACAGCAAGGAGGCTGATATGACTGGAACCAAGGGTGAAAGGGGGAGCAGGAGGAGACAAGGCTGGAGAAGTAACAGATCTTGTTAAAGTACAAAACTAACCCTATCCCTCCCATGTGCAGAGCTTGCCATGGCTCCCCAGTGCCCTCAGGAGTCAGTTCATGCTTCTCACAACAGCAGTTCAGCCCCTACTGGCTCTCCAAACTTCATCTCTAGTCAGCTCCTGATCCAGGATCCTAGAGTCTAGTCAAAATTCACCTCTAGCTCTTCCCACCCTCAGGAACTTCAAGGCTATTGAAAAACCGAGACCAAAGTCTGAACTCTCCTTACCCTTCCCAATTCAGTGATGGCTCTCCAGCACACCCCAGACTGCCACCAAATGGCTTTGAAATTAGACCAATCTGGTTTCAAATCCTAGCTGTGCAACCACTGTGTGACCTCATGCCCTCAACTCTTCTAAGCCTCCGTTTCCTCATCTGGAGAGTAGGGATCATCATTGTTCCTCAGATGTGTGATTGTGGTTGAGAATCCAGCACTGCTCCCAAGTGCCCAGCATAGTCCCAGGCTTAGTTGCAAAGAAGCCATTACAACACTGTCATCACCCTGCCTCCTCTCTCCCCACAACCCCTCTCCCCTCTTCCACCCCAGCCACTCTGACTTCTTCAGTGTTCCTCCAACATGCCAGGTGCACCCTCAGCTCAAGGCCTCTGCACATCATTCCCAATCACATCACCTGCACACCATGGCAGTTTCCCTCCTTCCTTTCCAATCCTTTTTACCTTTCCTTTCTTTTTCATGTCAGATTGCATTGGCTGGGACCTCCAGTGCAGTGTTAAATACAAGCTGTGAAAGCAGGCATCCTCGTTACCAGTCTCATAGGGAAAAATTTTCAGTCTTTCACCATCATGTATGCTGTAGGTTACTTGTGGATCCCCTTTATATGATTATAAAAATTTACCTTCTATTCCTAGTTTGCTGGGGTTGTTGTTGTTGTGGTTTTTTTTAAGTCATAAATGGCTGTTGAATGTTATCAAAAATTTCTTTGCACTGGTTGAGATTATCTTACATATATATGTATATATACATATATATATTTATTTAAGATTTATTTATTTTAGAGAGCATGCACAAGTGGGGGTGGGGGGGTTAAGGGAGAGAATCCCAGACTCCCCGCTGATGCAGGGCTCGATCTCATGACCCTTGAGATCATGACCTGGGCTGAAATCATGAGTCAGACACTTAACTGACTGAGCCACCCTGGGCCCCAACTTACATATATATTTTTTAACATATTAACATGAGTTATATTTTTTCTATTTTTCTAATGTCAAGCCCAGTCCTGTTATTAGCCCAGTTTAATCATGGTGTGTCATCTTTTTGAGAGTAACTTTTTGCTGGGTGCCATTTGCTAATATTTAGCTTAGAATTTCAGCATCTATATATATTTTTAAGATTTTTATTTATTTATTTGAGGGAGAGCCAGAGAGAGAGCACAAGCAGGGGGAGCAGCAGAGGGAGAGGGAGAAGCAGGCTCCCTGTTCAGCAGGGAGCCTGACATGGGGCTTGAACCCAAGACCCTGGGATCATGACCTAGGCTGAAGGCAGATGCTTAACTGGCTGAGCCACCCAGGCGCCCCTGCAGCATCTATATTTCTAAGCAGGCATCCTCTAATCTAATCCTGCTAATCTATTTCTAAGATTGGCATGGAATGTTCCTGTCTCCTAGTTTCCTTGAGCTTTGTTAACATTCTGTTAGACTCATGAAATGTCTCAGAGCCTACCCACCAGTTGTTCCCTCTGACTGAAACACCCCCAATATCTGTATGGTTTGCCTCACGTCATTCAGATCTCAGCTTAAATGTGCCCCTTGGTGTGACCTTCCCTGGCCTCCCTATTTAAAATCGGAAGCCATCTCCTATCCCTGGCATTCCCAGTCCCCATTCCCTGCTTTGTGTTCATAGAAAGACACACTATATATTTTTGCCTATTTGGTTGATGTCTGTCTCCATCATCATAATGTGCGCTCCACCAGGGCAGGGACATTTTCTCTTCCCTACGGGGTGCCCAGCGCCAGGTACAGGGCCGGGCACACAACAGTGAGCTCACTGAGCTGAGCGAGTGATGTCTCCCACCTCCCACTCCCTCCCGCGGGAGGCAGGTATGAGCACCTGGTGAACCTGCTGACCAAGATCCTGAACCAGCGGCCCGAGGACCCTTTGCCCATCCTGGAGTCGCTGAACCGCACCACACAATGGGAGTGGTTCCACCCCAGGCTGGACACCATGCGGGACGACCCTGAGATGGAGCCCACCTATGAGACGGCGGACAGGCAGAAGGCGCTATTCCTTCGGAGCGGCGCCGCAGGCGAGGGCGAGCAGGAGATGGAGGAGGAGGTGGTGAGTGAGCCGGTGGGAGGGGCGCGAGGCGGGGCCGGCAATCGGCACCGCCTGTGCTTCTGCCCCGAAGTGAGGGAACGCACGGTGTGACCCAGAAACACAAACGATTTCAGTTTCGTGTGCGCACCGGGCAGAGGGGGCCAGGACCAGGTCACAGAGGGCTTTGAATGCCCGGCCAAGGGGCTTGGGCTTTCTCCTGAGGCGCCTGGAACGCCCTGAATGTTTGAAGCAGAAGAAGGGCTAGTGGGCTCTGCCTTTTAAGAAAGCAGAACTCCTGTGGAGGTGGAGACTGGTCCCTCTTACCATCCTTGACTCCTTCCTCCCGAAAATAATTCTGCTTTGCAGACGTTCTCTGTGAAGCCCATTGCCTCCTGGAGTCTCTCCACGCTGAAGTGCCCACTAATTCCCGGACTCAGTCTCCCCTTTTATTAAGTTGAGACCCTCTAAGAACTCTTTCACTCTTGGCCCCTTAACATTTCACTATCCTTAGAATATTTAATTCCACAATTGTTTCCAGAATTGGACGACGGCGGAAAATTCAGGTAAAGTGTTCTTTCACTCGTCCAAGAAACATTTGTTGAGGACTCTTTATGATCATTCTGACACCTCCTAGGCCCCTGCTAAGAGCTTGGAGAGCTCTCGTTTCATCCCTAAAACAACCCTGCAAGTCGAGTGCTACTTATTCCTATTTATAGAGGAAAGACGCAGGCTCGGAGGGCAGGAAGGTGGGAAGTACCAGGGACTGGACTAAGAAAGTAGGGCCATGATCTCCAAAGCCTGTGCTATATACAACCTTTGACCTATCTGCAGACGCTTTTGCTCTGTGCTCACTTCTATCTATGCTTCTGAGACTCCAGGATTCTGGCGATAGCGGGGTGGGATGGTGAGAGAATGGGAGAAGGACAATCAGACAAAAGAATGAACCCTTGGGTGAGCAAAGCGCAGGTGGAAATCCCAAGTCTTGGGCACGAAGTTCTACCCGGGAATAGGGTTTTGAATTTCAGATCCAGTTTCTCCTCAGGAGGCCCTACCCACTTAGAACTGCACCCTTCCTTCCCTACCCCCAGGTCTTACCCACATCTAACTCAAGTCCCCGAAGGCCCCGCCTCCTTAGAACGCTTTGCTCCTAGAGGCCCCGCCCCTTAGAACACCGCTGCACCTGAGGCTCCGCCCCCTTGGAAATCAGTCTGCGGGGAGGCTCCGCCCCTCCAGACGCCTGGTCCCTGAAGGCCCCACCCCCTTAAGTACTTGGAGCTGGGGTTTTTGTTTTTGTTTTTGTTTTTGTTTTTGTTTTTGTTTTTGTTTTTGACAGAGAGAGAGGGAACACAAGCAGGGGGAGTGGGAGAGGGAGAAGCAGGCTCCCCGTAGGGAGCCCGATGTGGGGGCTCGATCCCAGGACCCCGGGACCACGACCCGATGGGAAGGCAGAGCTTAAGGACTGAGCCACCCAGGCGCCCCTGGAGCTGGGATTCTTAATGGGAGGTCAGCAAACGGGCAAAATTGTGGGCGTTTGTGGCCTGTGCATGTCTCTAGGAGGAGACTTAAAGAAATCCGTGATTCAGCTTTTTGTATTTATTTTTCTGACAGGAGATGGGGCTCTCATTTCCCTTTTTCTAGTCCCCAGCAGCATTTGTGGAAAAATGCATGCTTTCCTTACGCCCTCCTTTGAAATGCCATCTCTATGAATTATTTACACCTATATGGACTCGACCTGTTTGTGGGTTCTCTATTCTTCACGTTCGCTCTGTGGCTGGCTTTCTGCTTTAGAACTCTCCTGCCTGCTGTGTACAGCCGCTGCATAGCAGGTTTGGCTATTTGATAGCATAAGGCTCCCCGGCACTGGGCCTCTGTTTCATAACAGAGGCCGATTATTCTTGCATTTATAATTCCAGACTAACTTGGGGTGCGCTCAGCGTGGAATCTGCTTGCATTTCTCTCTCTCCCTCTCCCTCTCCCTCTGCCCCTCCCGCCGCTTGTTCTCTCTCTCTCTCAAAATAAATAAATAATACCTTTTTTTTTTTTTAAAGACCTACCTCTTCCCTTAATTTGCTATATGATTTGGGGTATCTGTTAGGGGTGCATTTGGCTGCAAGCAACAGAAACCATGACTAAAAGTGGCCTCTTTATCCCATAGAACAAGAAGGCTGGGGCGGCAAGGCAGCTCAGTGATGCCACTGGGGACAGGCAGTTTCTATCTTTTAGCTCTACCATCATTAGGGTATGGGACTTTGTTTCCCGTGCATTGCCTCATGGTCCCAAAATAGCTGCTGTGCCTCCAGATCTCACACCCCATTCCAGGCAGAAAGAAGAGGGAAGGATGAAGGAGCAACGGATTTTCTCCTAGTGGTTTGTTGTTGTTGTTGTTGTTGTTGTTGTTTTGCCTTTTCTTTTCCTATAAGGGACATCCTCCCCAAGGACTTGCCCCTACATCTCACTGATCAGCAGTGGTCTCATGAGCAGCTGGGTTACAGAGTAGTTCACGTCTCTGGATTTTAGAAGAGTCAGGCTTGGGAGCAGGGCTTCAGCCTTCTTCCCTCTGCCCTCCACCCCACCCTCTGCAGGCTGAGACAGCAGTACCCAACATCATGGAGACGGCCTTCTACTTCGAACAGGCTGGCGTGGGCCTGAGCTCAGACGAGAGTTTCCGCATCTTCATGGCCCTGAAGCAGCTGGTGGAGCAACAGCCCATCCACACCTGCCGCTTCTGGGGCAAGATCCTGGGGCTGAGCCGCAGCTACCTGGTGGCTGAGGTGGAGTTCCGGGAGGGCGAGGAGGAAGGGGAGGAGGAGGAGGTGGAGGAGATGATGGAGGGCGGCGAGGGTCTGGACACACACGCTGAGGAGGAAGGCGAGGAGGACGAGGAGAAGGTCACCGACGTTATCCCCAAGCCCACGTGGAAGCCACCACCCGTCATCCCCAAGGAGGAGAGCCGCTCGGGCACCAACAAGTACCTGTATTTCGTGTGCAACGAGCCGGGCCGGCCGTGGACACGGCTGCCGCACGTCACGCCCATCCAGATCGTGCAGGCCCGCAAGATCAAGAAGTTCTTTACGGGCTACCTGGACGCGCCGGTCATCAGCTTCCCGCCCTTCCCGGGCAACGAAGCCAATTACCTGCGGGCCCAGATCGCCCGCATCTCGGCCGCCACGCACATCAGCCCGCTTGGCTTCTACCAGTTCGGCGAAGAGGAGGGTGATGAGGAGGAGGAGGGCGGTGCAGGGCGCGACTCCTACGAGGAGAACCCCGACTTTGAGGGCATCCCGGTGCTCGAGCTGGTGGACTCGATGGCCAACTGGGTGCATCATACGCAGCACATCCTGCCTCAGGTGAGGTCCGGGGACTCCAGCCTCCCCGTCCCCGCACACCCCCCACCCCCGCTGTGACAGAACCAGGGGGCTTTGGCGCACTGCTCTCTGCCAGATGGGGTGCTCACTAATGTGCACTCCTCCGTTGTTTCATTCACTGGGCCGATGTCGGCTGCTGGTGCCCCTGACAGAAACCTTCCAGGGCCAGATGCATCCCGGTGGCCTGCGTTTTTCAGATTTTAAAAAGGTGACAGAGCGCACATACCAGATATCATGCAGCACCTCAAGCCAGGGGGCTGGGGCTGCAGCCATCCTCCAAGACTTTATTTCTGTTGCAAAACTGAATAACCTCTCATTAGTTCAGGTCGGGCACAAAAAAGCAACTTTTGGTTTTCACAGCTTTTCAGGTTTGGGAATTGTGGATAAGAGACTGAGGACCTGCCTTTCTTGAATGCCCGATGTGTTGGGCTTTATATTCATTCATTCACTCATTCAAGTTAACACCTGCTGTATGCTAGGAACTTTGTACTCATTCATTCATTCGTTCATTCATTCAACAAACTTTTATTGACCCTGGCAACGTTATTGAATCCAAATAACTCCTTTTGAGATCGTTACAACTGTCATTCCCGTTTCATAGTTGAGGCAACTGAAGTCGGCTCTATGCTGCGTGCTTTGGTTCATTCATTCAACAAATACGTATCAGCCCTCCAGTGCCTCGTGGAACACAACAGCAGTCCAATGAGAGAGACCACATGACACCCCCATTCCATAGATGAGCAAACAGAGGATCATATGGGCTGCTGAATGTCAGCTCCACAGGGCAGAGATTTGGGGGGGCCTCTTTTCTCAAGGATTTATCCCCAGCACCTACCTGTATATAGTAGGCGCTCATTAAGTATAAGATGAATGAATGAATGAATGCACAGATGGGAGCCACACAGCTAGGGGGTGGCAGGAGTCTCCACCTCACCACTACAGCTCTCTGAGCCGCCCTCCCTTCCCTGACCTGTGTGACTAACCCTGTCCTCTGGCCCATCCCTGGCTCCCTGAGGATACGGCCAGTGCCCAGTGTCCTTCCTGGCCCTTCACCTCCTCCCAGAGTGCAGGCCAGGCTCTGTCCACCAGGCGTGCCGACTGACCATCCCCCCACCCCCAGGGCCGCTGCACTTGGGTGAACCCTTTGCAGAAGATGGAAGAGGAAGAGGAGCTGGGGGAGGAGGAAGAGAAAGCAGATGAGGGGATAGAGGAGGTGGAGCAGGAGGTCGGGCCCCCGCTGCTGACCCCGCTCTCAGAAGATGCAGGTAACCATCCTCTTCACCCTCTTAACCTCACACACACCAGCCCACTGGAGCAGGTGGGGCCTGGGGAGAAAGTGGGAGGGACAGCAAGACTGTGGGGGGGCATCTCTCTGAGCCTCAGTTGTTCTCTCCTCTATTCCATGGGCCTGGTGACAGCACCTCCCTCGTGGGGTTATGGGGACACGTCCATCTTGTGAGCTGTGTCAGGCACCTGGCAATGTCCCGACTTATGGGGGGTATGATCTTTCGAGTCCCATGTGGGTTTGGGGAGAGAGAGAGAGTTAAGCCTTTCCACAAAGGAGGCAGGACCTGAGCTGGATTTTTGGAAGCCTGGATAGGAATGTCCTGAGGTCAGAGCCTCAGGCACCTGGAGGAAGGGGAAAGGAGAGGGTGAGAGTGGGTGAGTGGACAGAGCCCAAATTTGAACCCAGATTTCCAGGAGCCCAGGGCCTGACCCGTGAGCTCTGCACCCTGGTCCAAACCAATGACCACCTGGAAGGGAGCCCACAGCAGCTCCTGCAAGGCAGGTGTGATAAGGATACCCACTTCTTGGGTGTGGTCACTGAGGCTCAGACAGATGCGGTGGCTTCCTGGGGCCACACAGCAAGAAAGTGATCTGGAGCCAGCCACAGTTCCCTTCATGCCCCTTCCTGTCCTCCCCCTTTGCTCTCTCCCCTCTTTCTGTCTCCCCTCCAGGGGGCTGTGCAGGGCTGCGGGGAGCTCTGACTTCCCTGGTGCTCTCCACTTCCCTGCAGAAATCATGCACATGTCACCGTGGACAGCCCGCCTGTCCTGCAGCCTCTGCCCGCAGTACTCCGTGGCCGTCGTGCGTTCCAATCTTTGGCCAGGGGCCTATGCCTACGCCAGTGGCAAGTAGGTCTAGTCCCTTCCAACAGAGAAAGCCCCTACAACTTCTTCAGTGCTGAGGGCAGGGGGCAGGATGGAGATCGGAAGGACCCCCTTCTGGAAGCCGCTAGGGCTGACCTCCACACTCAGTTCCAGGACTAGGGCTAAAATGAGAAATCCCGGACAAAGAGCGTGAGCCCCTCAGATAAAAGAATGGAGGATCAGAGAGGGGAAGGAACTGACTCAGGGTCACACAGCATATGCAGGATTCAACTTGGATCTCTGGCCTCCTGGCCCAGGCCTCTCGTCTATATGGGTCACAGAGCCAGACAGGACTGAGGAGTCCACCTTGAGGTGACCCTGACAGGGGCAGAGCCTTGTGTCTGGGGGATGTAACTCCTTCCGCAGGGCCCCTGGACAGTTCTCGCTACAGGGCAGAAGTCTTCCCCATCAGGATCCCCCACCAGTTGCTCCAAAAGATCTGCAGGCTGAAGTCACTCCTGCATCTTCCCACCCACAGCTACACATTCACTGAGATGCTCACTACACACTCACTGCACACTGAGAGTCCCTTAGTCTCTCCCACCAGGCGCATCCCAGCCTTTCTGCTTAGCCACTTACGGAGTGCCCTCCTCTACCACTCTGTCCACTAGATGGCATGATAAGTTTTCATAGATTTTTCCTTTCCATCTCCATGATAAACCTATATACTGTGTTGGATCCCGTGATGAGATTTCATGTAATCTTGATACCTTAACTACATTCTTTTGTTTTTTAAGATTTTTTATTTATTTGACAGAGAGAGACACAGCGAGAAAGGGAACACAAGCAGGGGGAGTGGGAGAGGGAGAAGCAGGCTTCCCGCGGAGCAGGGAGCCCGATCCGGGACTCGATCCCAGGACCCTAGGATCATGACCTGAGCCGAAGGCAGACGCTTAATGACTGAGCCACCCAGGCGCCCCCCTTAACTACATTCTTGGCAATTTTTTTCCCCTCCAGAAACAGAAGAGTCTCACTTGCTTGCTTTTGCCAACCCCCTTCCTCTGGCCACACTCTAATTTGCCAACATCTTTCTTTTCTTTTTTTTTTTTTAAGACTCTTTTTTAAAAGATTTTATTTATTTATTAGAGAGAGAGAGCTTGAGCATGACAGAGAGAGAAAGGGAGAGAGCAGGAACAGGGGCAGGAGGAGAGGGAGAAACAGACTCCCTGTGGAGCAGGGAGCCCGATGCGGGGCTCGATCCCAGGACTCTGGGATCATGACCTGAGCTGGAGGCAGACGCTTAACTGACTGAGCCACCCAGGTGACCCTAAGTTTGTTTTTTTTTTTTTGACAGAGAGAGGGAACACAAGCAGGGGGAGTGAGAGAGGGAGAAGCGGGCTTCCCGCTGAGCAGGGAGCCCGATGTGCAGCTCGATCCCAGGGCCCTGCGACCATGACCTGAGCCAAAGGCAGACGCCCAGTGACTGAGCCACCCAGGCGCCCCAAGATTTTATTTTTAAGTGATCTCAACACCCAACACAGGGCTCAAACTCATAACCGGAAGTCACACGCTCCTCAACTGAGCCAGCCAGGTGCCCTGCCAACATCTTTCTGAAAGCAAAAGATCCAAATTTGGAGCTCCGCTCATCCATCCATCCACCACTCAATCGTCCATCCCTCCAATCATCCATGTTTTTTCCATTTTTTTTCTTTGCCAGCTGTATGCTAGGTCCCAGGCCCTTTATTGAAAAGGCGATGTGGCTCCTGCCCCTGAGAGCAGGCAGAGGAAGCACAGAGGTTAATGGTATAGCACCCCGCCCCCCAGCCAAATAAATACCCTGTTACAAACTAAGTACCACTAGGGACAGACAGTGCAGGGACCAATTACAGCTCCAAAGTCTCGTCGTAAGGGGATCAAAGTAGGATCCCTGGGGAGAGCAAACTTGACGTGAAATATTTGGGGAAAGAGAGAAGTAACGTGGAAAAGCAGGTAGAGGACATTCTAGACCAGAGCCTCCTACCTAGACCATGAGTGCACACGACCCCAGGGATCTGGTTGAAGGGCAGGTTCTGGTGGCACGGGAGTGGGGTTGGGGCCTGAGAGTCTGTCTTCCCAGCAAGCTCAACCTCCCGGGCGAGGCTTCCAAGGAGGCAATATATTCGAAGGCTCCAAGGAAGACCTGGTGGAAAACAATTGTCCTAGGAACAGCAAGGCTGTGATAAAGGGCAAAGCCACAGAGTCCCCATGGCAAATTCTCCATCCATCTCTCTCCCTCACCCCCACTCCTCTCTGCCTCTCTCCTTGTCTCCCAGTCCCCCTCCTTTGCTCCCATTTCCTCCTCTAGTTAAAATTCTGGGAACAGGTGGACTGACAGGGCTTGGCTCCAACCAGTTACATTCTTGTTTATTATCAGTGTCCTCCTTCTAGAATGTAGGCATCACCACAGGGATTCTTGCTTAAGGGGTTCACTGCTGGGTCCCCACATCTAGACGCTGTCCAACACAAATAAAATACAAGCCACCTGTGTCATTTTAAACTTTTTTTAAACTTTTTTTAAACTTTATTTAACTTTTTATTTTTTTTTTTTAATTTTCTAGTAATGGCCATGTCCAAGAGTAAAAACAGGCAAAATTCATTTTAATAATATATTTTACTTCACCCTAAATATCCTAAATGTTATCATTGCAATATGAAAGCAATAATGTAAAAATTAACAAGCTATTTTACATTCTTTTATTTTCATACCATGTTCTTCAGAATCTGGTGTGAAGTTGACACTTAAAGCACACATTCCATGTGGAAGCTACCTTGTCATCAGAAGTACTTGACCTGTACTCAGATTTCACAACATTTACAGTTGAGAAAGTAGATTCATGGACCCCAGTTGTCCCAGACATGCTTAGACATTTTCTAGTAACCGAACTGAGTATCAGTTTTATTGCTTAAATTTAAATTCATTACAATGAAATAAAATCCATTCAGACAACAGCAGAACACACATTCTCCTCAAGTGTGCATGGAACAGCCTCCAGAACCAGACCATATGCTAGGCCATGAAACAAGTCTCAATAAATGTACCCAGATATTGATGGTATAAAATATGTTCTCTGGCCATACTGGAATGAAATTAGAGATCAGGGATGCCTGCATGGCTCAGTTGGTTAAGCATCTGTCTTTGGCTCAGGTTATGATCCCAGGGTCCTGGGATCAAGTCCTATTTCAGGCCCCCTGTGGGGAGCCTGCTTCTCCCTCTGCCTGCCGCTCCCCCTGCTTGTGCTCTCTCTTTCTCTGACAAATAAATTAATAAATAAAACCTTAAAAAAAAAAGAAATTAGAAATAATAATAATAATAAAAAAAACCAGAAGGAATTTGGGAGAATTTCACAGATATGTAGAAATTACCACACTCCTAAATAACCAAGGGGCTGAAGAAGAAATTGCAGGTGAAATTAGAAAATCAAATACAATTAGAAACTCAGCTGTTTGGTCACACTCACTGGCCACGTGTCAAGTGCTCAGTGGTTCCACGTGCTGTTGCAGCTCTAGACACGCCTGGCACTTAGGAGACAGATGCCCCATAACGACTGAAGAACACGCAGAGAAACCCCCTGGGCACATATCACCCCAACACCCACCACTCCCACTCTGCAGTCGTGCTGGGCCCAAGCTGGGTCCCACCTTCAGTGAAAACCCAGGCTGGAGCCTTCGGGGAGGATTTCCCAGTATCTCTCCGCCTTTCCAGGAAGTTTGAGAACATCTACATTGGCTGGGGCCACAAGTACAGTCCTGAGAACTTCAACCCACCCCTGCCAGCCCCCATTCAGCACGAGTACCCCAGCAGCCCAGATGTCATGGAAATGACTGACCCCACGGTGGAGGAGGAGCAGGCCCTCAAGGCAGCCCAGGAGCAGGCCCTGGCAGCCTCGGAGGAAGAGGAGGAAGATGAGGAGGAAGATGAGGATGAGGACCTGGAGGACTGAAGGGGCCCCCTAGCCCCCTCTCCCAAGCAGGTAGATAGCAGCTTTTCCCTCATGCATAGTGAGGGATGGGTTGTTTTGTTCACAGTTGGTTTGCCTGGAGGGCAGGGGTAGAAGAAGAAGGTAACTGCTCTAAATAAAATTTCCCCACGGCATCATGGCCTAGCTCCTCATTCGATTGTTGACACGGCCTCCAAGTCAGGGCTGTTGGGTTCTGCTGGGAACAGACATTGGCCGGCATAGTCTCTCCTATCTGTGTCATTTATTCCTTCAGCAAACAACTATTGAAGTGCCTTCTGTCAGCCCAGCTCTGCTTTCCCGGGGCTCACACTCTACAGGAGAGACAGACAGTGACAACCCAGATGGGGGAGCCCAGAGGACGGACAGAGCTCCTGAACTGACTCTTAAAGGGTCAAGAACAGAGTGGGGAAGAGCATTCCAAGCAGAGGAGTGCAAAGACCCAAAGGCAAGAGAGCGTTGTGTTGAGGTAGTTTCCTGAAACCCCGTGTTAGGGACATGGTGTGAGGAGTGAGTGGTGAGAGATGAGGCTGGAAAGAGAGACTGGCAGGAGCAGAGCACTCAGGGCTTTACTTTGCCACGAGAGCAGTAGGGTCCAGGGGAGCAGAGACAAAGCTGATGCTGAGAGGGCCCGAGCAAGAGAGGAGGACTTTGGACCAGCGCTATGCAGAGAGAGGGACTGGAAAAGAGGACTTCACATGACAGAATGCAAAAAACGTGGGAACTGGAAGCAGGGTGTGAAGGGAGACCATGCAGATCTAGGGAGACCCTGAGGTCTGCAGCCTGAGTGACTGGGGGGGGATGGCAGTGCGAGCTCTAAGATGGGGACACAGGAGAGGAGCAGCATTTGGAGGAAGATGTCAGTTTCATTGTAGGACTTGTCGAGTGTAAGATGCCTCTGGGACATTCCGGTGAGAAATCTGAGAGACCACTGAGAATGGGTCTAAGAAGGTCTGTGATGGGGGCAGGGTGGCTTCAGCGGAAGTGAGGGCACTGGCTATCAGCGGGGGCTCATGGATCAGCAAGCGCTTTTGGATTACTAGTGGATCACTGGGACACCGAGGGGCATTGTGGGGATCAACGAAATTTTGGAACCAGAGGAGGGTGTTGGAGGACGAAGTGAGGTTGTTGAAGATAGTGAAGTCATGGAGATACATATTGGAGGTTGGTGGGAAATGTGGAAATGTTTAGGGTTAACGTTAATCGGTAGTGGGTCGGATGAAGTCCTTGGAATTCTATGGAGACGCTGGAGATCAGCGGGATCTGCGGGATCATCAAGGGTCGGGGAGGAGGGTCTGGAGATGCTGTCGCCAGTCAGGGATTTTAAGACGTCAGTGGGAAACACTGGAGGTTAGGAAGGTGTATGTTGGAAGTCTAAGGCGGCACTGGAATCACTGGGGTCATCTGTGACGTGATGGGAAGGCCAGGTTATGAACCAGGCCTTCTTTTGAGGGTCCCTCCGTTGCTAGGCAAACGGTTCCCAGGGCGCCGTTGCTAGGGATTTGTGCTTTTCCATGACCCCGCCCATCTCCCCCTGGGCCGCGCCCCGCAGCCAACCACACGTCGGTCGCGGGCACACAAGGCCACGCCCACCTTTCGCCCCGCCCCCAGCCCCAGAACCGTTACCCGAGCGACGGCCGGAGCTCATCCCGCCTCCCGATCCTGTTGCCAATCGAAGAGGCGTCGCCCGGGTGACCACCCCACCCCTTCCGGCGCGGGCCCAAGGCTTCCGGCAGGGGGCCCGGTGGCGGGCGGCGGTCCGGCAGCGGCGGGGCCCGGGCTGGGCGGGGGGGCGCCCAAGATGGCGGCGGGCGGCGCGGAGGGCGGCTCGGGCCCCGGCGCCGCCATGGGGGACTGCGCGGAAATCAAGTCGCAGTTCCGCACCCGCGAGGGCTTCTACAAGCTGCTCCCTGGCGATGGCGCCGCTCGCAGGTCGGGGCCGGCTTCCGCCCAGACCCCGGCGCCGCCCCAGCCGCCGCAGCCCCCGCCCGGCCCTGCCTCCTCCTCCGGCCCCGGCGCCGCGGGCTCCGCTCCGTCCCCGCCGCCCGCAGGCCCGGGTCCAGGGCCCGCACTGCCCGCCGTGCGCCTCAGCCTCGTTCGCCTCGGGGAGCCCGACGGCGCCGGGGCCGGGGAACCGCCCGCCACGCCCGCGGGGTTGGGTGCCGGAGGAGACCGCGTCTGCTTCAACCTGGGCCGCGAGCTCTATTTCTACCCCGGCTGCTGCCGCAGCGGAAGCCAACGGGTGAGCGGCCTGCATCGTGGTGGCCTCGGTGCTGGCAGAGAGGATAGGGCCCCCTGAGGTGATCCAGAAGTGATAGAAGGGTCCCCGAATGGATGTGGGGTTCTGAGATGGGCATCCTCGATGTGACGGCCATCCCAGGGGGAAGGGTACCCAGAGGTAATGCAGAATCCTAAAAGGTGGTGGGGAGCCGGGGAGGCCCTCCGGGGTGCTGGCCATCGTAGAGGTGATGGAGAATCTTGAGGTCATGCGGGATCCCCAAGTTACGCGTGGGGGTTCTGGAGTGGTATTTTGGAGAGATTCTGAGATGCTGTGGGACCCTCCGTGGTTCTGGGTGATAGGGAATCTGCCTGTGATGGAGAATCCTGAAGTGATGCAGGCTTGAAAGTGATGGAGAACCCAGGGGTGTTGCAAATCCGGAGGTGTTGCGAGGGGCTGGGGGGATCTTGAGACTTTGGGAGCCCAGAGGTGAGGATGATTGTGGAATTGATGAGGCACTTAGAGGTGATAGAGATCCTGCAGGTATATGAAGTCTTAAGGAACACTGGGGTTCTGGATCTCATGAGGGAATGAGATCATTCCTGGAGGGAATGAGAATCTCTGAGCTGATGGGGAGCTGGAGGTGATAAGAGCCCAAAGGGGACATCCTCAGGTGTGATGGCTATTTCTAGAGAGATGTAGGTCCCAGAGGGGATGAGACCCTTGGAGGTTATGATGGTTCCCAAAACTGATGGAGATCCTGAGAGCCCAGAGGTGGTGAAGGACCAAAAATGTGGGGGACCCTGAGGTTTAATGCGTCCATGAGCTGTGATGGGGGTCCTGAGATTTAGGGACTCCAAAGTAAAGAGAATCCTGGGATGTTGGGTGTTAGAGTCCTGGGGATTTGGGTGACTCTGCGTTTTGGGGAGCTTGGAATATTGAGGTGCCAAGATCCAGGGGGAGTTGTTGAGTCTGTGGGCCAGGACTGGAAAGGAATTGGAGCTCAGGGACTGTGGGGACCCCAAGCCTTTATACTGTGGGCAAGGGTGTCCCTAAAGTTAGAGGTGTCAACTTTGGGGGGAGGCACTGTGGTCTCATGTGGGGTGGAGGGGGGGCACCTTCCTGTTTTTTCCTTTACTGGGTCTGTGATTTGGGTCCCCCTTCCTGTCTGTGGTTGCCCACTCACTCATCCACCTACCCACTTCCCTTAGGGATTTAACCCTGCTTCCTTTAGTGGTTTCCCCCAACCTCAACACCCTCTTCCTTCCTCTCAGTGGTAGAAGCTTTTAACTCCTTTTCTCCCACTGCTCAAGTCCATTGACCTCAACAAGCCAATTGACAAGCGGATCTATAAGGGCACCCAGCCCACCTGCCATGACTTCAACCAGTTCACTGCTGCCACAGAGACCATCTCCCTGCTGGTGGGATTCTCAGCTGGCCAGGTGCAGTACCTGGATCTCATCAAGAAGGACACCAGCAAGCTATTCAATGAAGAGGTGATTATGGGCCCCCGGGGCCTAGAACGGCTCCCCCCTCCCATTCACCACCCACACAGCGTTGCCATGAGACTGCAGCTGCCTGGGGAGCAGTGGAGGCCTGAGAGGGGCAGGATACAGGAGAGAGAGGGGATGGGCTGACAGATATATGGCATGGGGTCACGGACAGCAGCTAGTGGGACATCAGCTAATAATGACAGCTGCACCTGCCATGCTTGGGGCCTCTGGGCTGTTAGCCCTGTGCTGAACACTTTACTCCTTGAGTTTTCCTCCATGGGTTAGGGGTTGTGGTGCCCGTAAGACAACCAAGGCTAGTCTCTAGTTGGGACTTGTTGGAAGCCAGAGCCCTTGATCTTCAAATTCTGGGCCCGTGAGCATTGGATTCAAGTCATTGCTGCACCGTTGACTCACTGTATGGTTTTGGGGAGGTGACTGTCCCTCCTGAGCCTCAGTTTTACTTCTCTGAAAAATGGGATTCTCATCCCTGCCTCATGGGACCATTATTACGAAATCGTATGTGGAGATGGCTCAGTCCTGGCTAGACTTGGTGCCAAAGGAACATGCCAAGGAACGACATTATCCATGGGCGGGGGCTGCTCTTGTCCTCTGGCTTTTTCTCTGTTCAGAGGAGGTGTTCCAAATATACAGAATGTATGAATGGCAGAAGGGAGTGAGGGTAACAACAGTGAATGGATTAAAAATGCACCGGCTCATCCATTCACAAAATATTTATTGAGCATTTGGTCTGTGCCAGGCGTTGTTCTAAGCACCAGGGATTTCACATATTAGTGAGCAAAACAGAGGGCCCTGCCTTTGTGGAGCCTTCATCTAGCTCGGGGAGCAGACAGTTATCAAATAAGTTAAGGATGCTGTATGGCAGAAGGTGGTGAGCGCCACAGAGAAGAATCCAGCAGGGAAGGGGGATGGGGGATGTGGAGTGCCTGGTGAGGCTTAAATTAAGTAGGCTGGGTCAGGAAAGGCCTCACTGAGGGGGGTGACATTGAAATAAAGACCTGAAGGAGGCAAGAAAGTTACCAGGGGAGGAGGACATTCTGAGGAAAGGGAACAACTAGGACAAAAGCCTGGAAGCAGGACAGCAGAAGGGTTCTGTGGCCAGAACGGTTCCTGAGGGGAGGGTGGAAGATGGGTCCTGAGAAACAACTGGGAGACGCTGGTCCCTGGAGGGTCTGGAGGGTCATGGTAAAGACTTTGGCTTTCAGAGCCTTTCTCGACCAGGGTTCGTCTCAGCCAGAGAACACAGAGATGATGGGATTCTTTTTTAACTTCTCCCAAGAAATAGAAGCAACTTAGATGCCTGGGGAAGTTGATTCATTGTGTACGTCGGGTGCTCGGGAGCTCGGGAGCTTCAGGGCTCAGTTCTCTCTGGAGCCCTGCTTGAGAAAGGCTGCCGTGGGGTTCATGGGGGAGACGAGTGCAGGTTCGGGGTATCAGCAAAGGGTTGGACGTGAGCTGCTGGGGGGAAAGGAGCAGAGGCGCATGCGCAGCTGGCGGGACGGGGCGGTCCTTCGTGGGCCGGGCGCCTCCTGCGTGCGCAGGTCTGTGCCTTGGGGCTAGGCCGGTGAACCACACAGATAAGGATCCCTTCCCTGGGGGAGCTGATGTTCTGTGACTCGACCTCTTGCCTGAAGCCCGACGCGGTAAAGACAGAGGACAGGGTTAGACATATGAGAGTTCTCTGAAAAGCAGGACTTGTCCCCCTTCCCAAAGACGGGGACACCAAGGCTCCGTGGAGCTCTCTGTGGCTGCCTCACAGGCCGCCCTTCTTCCTTTGCGTTCCTGTGGCCCGGGGTCCGGGGTCCAGCCCTTACCCTCGGGGGTGGGGGGGCTCTCCGAGGAGGTCTGAGGGGACGTCGCTAGGAGCCGACCGCCTTCCCCAACCCCCGCCGTCTCTCCCGGCAGCGGCTGATCGACAAGACCAAGGTGACCTATCTGAAGTGGCTGCCTGAGTCCGAGAGCCTGTTCCTGGCCTCGCACGCCAGCGGCCACCTGTACCTGTACAACGTCAGCCACCCGTGCGCCTCGGCCCCGCCCCAGTACAGCCTGCTGAAGCAGGGCGAGGGCTTCGCCGTCTACGCGGCCAAGAGCAAGGCGCCCCGCAACCCGCTGGCCAAGTGGGCGGTGGGCGAGGGGCCCCTCAACGAGTTTGCCTTCTCGCCCGACGGCCGGCACCTGGCCTGCGTCAGCCAGGACGGCTGCCTGCGCGTCTTCCACTTCGACTCCATGCTCCTGCGGGGGCTCATGAAGAGCTACTTTGGGGGCCTGCTGTGTGTGTGCTGGAGCCCTGACGGGCGCTATGTCGTGACGGGGGGCGAAGATGACCTGGTCACCGTGTGGTCCTTCACCGAGGGCCGTGTGGTGGCCCGAGGTCACGGCCACAAGTCCTGGGTCAACGCTGTGGCCTTTGACCCCTACACCACGAGGGCCGAGGAGGCGGCAGCGGCCAGCGGTGACGGCGAGCGGAGCGGCGAGGAGGAGGAGGAGGAGGAAGAGGAGGAGGAGCCTGAGGCAGGGGGCACAGGCTCGGGCGGGGGAGCCCCCCTCTCCCCGCTGCCCAAAGCCGGCCCCATCACCTACCGCTTCGGCTCGGCCGGCCAGGACACGCAGTTCTGCCTGTGGGACCTCACTGAAGACGTGCTGTACCCCCACCCGCCCCTGGCCCGCACCCGCACCCTCCCCGGCACGCCTGGCACCACGCCACCCGCCGCCAGCAGCTCTCGCGGGGGCGAGCCCGGCCCCGGCCCCCTGCCCCGCTCACTGTCCCGCTCCAACAGCCTTCCGCACCCGGCAGGCAGTGGCAAGGCGGGCGGCGCGGGCGCCACGACTGAGCCGGGCACACCGTTCAGCATCGGCCGCTTTGCCACGCTCACGCTGCAGGAGCGGCGGGACCGGGGGTCAGAGAAAGAGCACAAGCGCTACCACAGCCTCGGCAACATCAGCCGGGGCGGGGGCGGCGGGGGCGGCGGCGGCGGGGACAAGCCCAGCGGCCCCGCCCCCCGCAGCCGGCTGGACCCAGCCAAGGTGCTGGGCACCGCGCTGTGCCCGCGCATCCACGAGGTGCCCCTGCTCGAGCCCCTGGTGTGCAAGAAGATCGCCCAGGAGCGGCTCACGGTCCTCCTCTTCCTGGAGGACTGTATCATCACCGCCTGCCAGGAGGGCCTCATCTGTACCTGGGCCCGGCCGGGCAAGGCGGTGAGTGGCCCCATGCCGGCCGACCCAGGGCCCAGGAGGAGGCGGGTGTGGGGAGGAGGGTTTGTCACAGTCATAGCCTTTGGCCCTGTGGGATGAGGGGAAGCCAGGGAAATCTTAGCATCCCAGAGCAAGACTTCTCAGATCTTAGGGTACCAGGCTTCTAGAACTCTCCGTGGCAGCAGAGAGAGGGTTGGGTAGAAGAGACAGCCAGGAGTGGTGAGGGCTGTGGCCAGCTATCTGAAGGGTGGCCAGTGGGCCCAGCACAGCCGGGCCTTATCACTTGTCACTCGAAGCCAAGTCTGTGTTTCTACGGGACATACAATTTGTGAATTGTGAAACTGTTTGAATAATGTGGGTCAAATTCTGGGGGCAACACTGAGCCTGTGGGCCTGCCTTCCGGCCTGGATCTCAGACTCTGGAACCCCAGCTCATGGAATCCCAGCTTGGGTTCCGGGGCTGCTCCCTGTGCGACCTTGGGCAAGTCACCGCTCCTTGCTGACCTCTGTCACCTCTTAGGGAGCCTTGAAGGTGGGTGGTAGATGGACGTGTCCACCTCCTGGGGGAGCGCTGGGGTTTCAGGAAGACCCCATTAGGGGGGAGCACAGGCCTGGCGCCTTCCATCTTTGGAGCTCTTGTCTCAGAGGGCTCAGCTCCACAGGGTTTGGGCTTGTGTGCCTGGGTTGCTAGGCCTGAGGCCCGTGGCTTGGTTCCCTCAAAGAGTGGTTTTAGAATTGTAGGGTCTTGAATCCTTAGAACTCTATGACACAGTCCCAGATGCAGGGTCGTTGGGATTTGGGGAGTCTGGGGAGTCCTGAAAGAGACCCCTCTATCTCCCTAGTTCACAGACGAGGAGGCCGAGGCCCAGACAGGGGAAGGAAGTTGGCCCAGGTCACCCAGCAAGTCAGTGGTAGAGGTAGGCTTGTCCCTGAGTTCTCTCCCCCTCACCCCCCCAGTCGGGGCCCCGAGTTCCCCCCTATCCTCTCCACCCCTACCCCCATTCTCTGCTCAGGACCACCCAAGTGCTCTAATTATTGTCCAAGAGTGCTGCCTGCGGGGCCAGGGAAGCTAGCGGAGCTGGGAGTTCCCGACCTAGAGCAGCGGCCTCTGTCTGGGGGGCTCTGGGGTGGACTGAAGGGCAAGGCCAGGGTGGCAGCCGCCTTAGGGACTCCGGGCTGGCTCCCTCCCCACGGGACTGGTGGGAGCCCCAGGCGGTCTCTAACCTTCCTGTCTCCCCTCTCGTCTTCCCCAGGGCATCTCCTCCCAACCAGGCAACTCCCCGAGCGGCACAGTGGTGTGAAGCCATGGATGTCGGGGTTCCCCCACAGTGTTCCCCGCCTCCTAGCCATAACCCTCCCGCTGACCTCACGGATCAACGTATTAACAAGACTAACCATGACGGATGGACTGCTCCAGTCCCTTGCCCTGCACAAATTTGGGGGTCAGAGGGTCCCCTAGACCGGCCCAGACACTCGGGGGGATGTAGTGGCCCATGTGGCCTCAGCCTTGTCCCCACCCACTGCCAAGTACAATGACCCCTTCCTCTGAAACATCAGTGTTCACCTCATCCCTGTCCCCAGCATGTGACTGGTCACTCCTGGGGGAGAGACTCCCCGCCCACAAGCTCTGCAGTGTGCCCCTCCTCTTGTGGGCAGGGCTGGGGCGGCCCACCCCTCCCCTGGCCCCTACCCTGCCCTTGCTGTTGTTTGTGCTTTTGAAGAGTGTTAAATTATGGAAGCCCCTCGGGGCCCTCCCTGTCCCCCAGGACCTCTTATTTATACTAAAGTTCCCTGTTTTCACAGCGTCTCTGGTCCCTTCCGGGAGGTGTGGAGGGAGGGAGCGCGTGCTTTAGCAGCAGTCCTAGAACCCAGCTACTAACACCGAACGAAGAGAGGCCCTGCCTGTCCCCAACCCGGTGCCCTCCCTGCTCCGTTCTCATAGCCGGAAAAGCTGAAGGCTGGAGGAGGGACTCACTCAGGGCACACAGCTGATGGGTCACTAAGCCGCCAGCCCTCCAGCCCTGAGCCCCCAGACCCCCCAACTCCGGAGGAAAGAGTGCCACCGGGGCCTCCTTCCCAGTTTGAAAGTGCCCGAACTGTCCAGGTCAGATACCGGCGGGGGGTGGGGGGCTGCCCAGATGGGTCCCCCAGGGAGCTCCTGAGGTGCCCAAAATGCACCCTAAGGCTTGGCCTCCCGCTGCCTCAGGCCTCTAGGCTCACAGGGCGCAGGCGTCCAGAGCCAGCTGGAGACCATGGATTCCTCCCGGAGCTCTGTCCACCCCTGCCGAGAACAACGAAAATCCCTCCTGGCTGGCTCTCTGGAGCTGCAGGGAGGGGTGTCTTCCCCCTCTGCCCTCCACCCCCCGAAATGTTTCTGTTTCTAATCCTAGCCTGGGCAGGAATGTGGCTGTGCGGCCAGGGTCCAAGGAGCTATTTTGGGGGCTCCTTTGCCTCCCCCAGGCTTTGGCCAGTGGGTCACCCCTGGTCCTGGCTCCTGAGGGCCTCCCTTCCCCATTCTCTCACCACCCCTTCCCCACCTCCTGCCAAAAAAAAGTCAGTGGAAAGCAGAGGGCCTGAGGGCTAAATATAAACCGTCCCAAAGTCTGAATCCGTGGCTGAGTCACCCGTGAAGCTTCCCTGGCCTCCTGCCCCCCCTTCCCAGGCCTCACCCCTTTCTCCCCCACCCCAATTCCAGGGCTTGAGAAGGGTGTTACCCGATCGTTCTGAACCTTAATTGGCCCCCTCAGAATGGGAGGGCTCATCTTTGGCATCTGCCACACCTGTAGCTACTAATGTGCTCCTCCGTTTTTGGGGGGCAGGCATCGTGGGAGAGTTGAGGTTCTCCACCCCCCCATTTCACACTGACGCGTTCTGAGGGGCCCTGGCAGGAGGGAGTTGGGGGGCCTGGCTCGTAAGGGGTTAAGGCTGGGAGGCGGGAGGGGGCCGTCCCGAGGGGTGGGGAGAAGGGGAGGAGGCCTCAGCAGCAGAGAGAAGTGGCCAGAGAGGCCCAGGGGACAGCCAGGGACAGGCAGACATGCAGCCAGAGCCCCGAGGCCTGGACAGGGGCTGCCAGGCCCCGTGACTGGAGGACCCCGAGCCCCTGGCCCGGGGAGGGGGCCATGGTGCTGCCTGCCCGACATGTCAGCCGAGGTGCGGCTGAGGCGGCTCCAGCAGCTGGTGCTGGACCCTGGCTTCCTGGGGCTGGAGCCCCTGCTCGACCTTCTCCTGGGCGTCCACCAGGAGCTGGGTGCCTCCGACCTGGCCCAGGACAAGTATGTGGCCGACTTCTTGCAGTGGGGTGAGTGCCTGCCGTCGTGGGTGCCACAGATTGGGGGGCGGTAGGGGCAGGGCAGAGGTAGGAGATGGGGCTGGGCATCGGGGCTGATAGTTGGGGTCAAGATGGACGTGGGAGAGCCTCTGACTCAGGAGCCCGGAACTTGGTCCTGGGTCCTAGGGTGGCATGTCCCTACCCCTGTGCCACCCTGGCAGGGCAGGCTGGGGTCAGCAGAGGCTAGGGCAGCCGTGACTCCGAACCTTGACCTGGGAGCCATGGTAGGCTGGACTGGGCATGGCCTTCCGTGGTCCTTCTGTACCCCCTCCCCAAGGTCTAGGCCTAGGGACATGCTGGGAGCCCTGGATCCTAGGATCGCCCCCACCACCACCAAGATGGGCCCCGTGGCTCTCCACCCTGACCTCCCAGAGCACAGAGGCAGGCGGAAGGGACAGCATGGGGCAGCTGCCAGGGGTGCGGCCAGTGGGCAGGTGTTCGGCGCCAGCGTCTCCCGCTGCCCCAACAGGTGCCCAGGCACTGGGAGGGTGCGGCCACTCAGGCCCTGGGGGAGAACTGGCTCCGCAGACAGGCGGCACCCAGCACCCCCCACCCCCTGGATGGAGGAGGGACAATTTCAGTTTCTTCTGGGTGTGCCCACTTTCTAGGGTCTGGCCACCCCCCCTCCACCAGCCCTGGTCTGTCGAGTTTGCATGGGGCAGCTCCCCAAGTCCCTGGTATTCATGACTTCTGACCTTCCAGCTCTCCCACAGTCCCTTCTGGCCAGGTCTTTCCCTGGAGACAGGTCTGAAGGGAAGATGCTTCCCCCTCTGGCCTTGTCTGCCTCCGGCCCTCCTCCACCCCAGGACTCAGGCTCACTTGGTTTTCCGTCTCTCTGACACCCTGCCACTCTGTCCTTGCACTGGTTTGTCCCTCAGTGGCTTGCACTCGGTCCTGGGGCTCTGTATGTCTCTGTCTCTCTGCCTCTCCGCTCTCCCTCGTTTCTTGTGTTCATCTCTTTTTGACCCAGGCCTTGTTCCTGTCCCTCCCATTTCGCAGATAGGAAGGTGGAGACCAAAGGCCGGGCCACTCAGCCCCTGGAAGAACTTTCTCCCCGCCTCCCCCAGTCCTTAGTAACTCTCTCAGCCCTGATTTTGCAGAGCGTGAAGTTGAGCTAGCAGGGTAAACTGAGCCCGGAGCTGGGGGCAGGGGTCTGGGCTCTCCCGTAAGGAGCATTCCTTTTGTGGCCTGAGCAGCATCCTGCGGCCCCTCCCCTGCTAGGCTGCCCGGGGCGGGGGAGGGGGCCTGGGTTCCTGCTGCCTTAAAAGGGCTCAACATCTTGGCTCTCTCCTCCCTCCCCCGTCCTGGGCCCTGGCTGGTTCTTCCCTGCCGGCCCACTCTCCCGAACCTCGAAACTCATGGGGGCTTGTCTCTCCCTGCCATAGCCCACTCTATCTCCCCTTACTTTCACTTGAATCCGTCCCTCTCTCTGTCCTGCCTCCCAAGTCCCCAGCGTCCTCCCTCTCCCTGTGCCCTTGCATTCCCTCCACCTGGGCCTTCCCTCCCTACCTGCTGTAGGACCTCGGGCCAACCTCTTCACCCATCTGAGCCAAGTAAAGGCCTCCCGTAAACGAGGGGCCTCCAGTAAATGATGGGCCTCCCGTAAATGAGGGGTGACGAAAGAAGCCCTCTTCCTGGAGTTGAGGACAGAGCGAATACACTAGAGCTTGGAATTTGGGTCCATGCTGGCTTTGTCTTCCCTCTCCTGTTCCCTCTCAGGGCCCCATCCCCAAATCCAGTGTTTCCCAAAGTGTAGTCCAAAGCCACCAGCCTCTAAACCTGGAGGTGCTGGACTAAACTGAATGTTCCAGGACAGGACCTGAGACAGACTGAGAACCCAGGTGTGGGCCTGGCAGGCACTCCCACTCCCAGCCAGAGTAGGGGTGGGGACTGAAGCTCAGGAGACCCTAAGGCCTGGGAACTCACATCTTCTGTTCTTCAGAGCCTCCCTTTCCCAGAGCCCGCCCTCTCCACCTGCACCCACTAGAGCCCCTCTGGCCCAATGCCCTTCCCAAAAGGGGTTCCTCAGGCATCCCACCTTTTTTTCTGTAGGAGGGCAGTTTGGGGTCCCCAAAACTTCACACAGTGTTTTTGCGGGGAAGCCTTTGGGAGGCTGACAGTCCTAGAAGAGAGACAGAGAGAGGAGAGAACAAGGGACAGAGGAGACCGAGGAGGGATAGGGGGAGACTGAGGGACAGAGGGTGGGACTTCCTCCCGTCTCCAGTGTCAATCCCAGTTACCCTCGGTTCTCACCTACCCCGCCCCCCAGTGGAGCCCATCGCGGCGAGGCTTAAGGAGGCCCGACTGCAGAGGGATGACTTCGAGATTCTGAAGGTGATCGGACGCGGGGCGTTCAGTGAGGTGAGCCTTGAGCGGCGGCTGCAGCTCCGCGGAGCAGGGGACGCGACTTTTCGTGCAGTGGGAGGGACCCAGGGGTTTGGGGCGGGACCTTAGAAATTGATGAATGACTTGAGCTGAGAAAGCCTACACGAGCCGGGCGGGGGCGGGGCCTGAGGTCGCTGGGCGTGGCGTTAATCGTGGGGCGGAGCCACGAGTAGGTTGTGTTATGGGTGGAGTCCAGCCTTGGCGAGCCCGCGTGTTTCCCCCGCCACCTCCGCCCCCAGTCACCCTGTTTCGGCCTTCAGGTGGCGGTGGTGAAGATGAAGCAGACGGGCCAGGTGTATGCCATGAAGATCATGAATAAATGGGACGTGCTGAAGAGAGGCGAGGTGAGGGCGGGGGCCGGATGTGCAGGGCGCTAGAATTACCCACCCCGCTCCGGCTCCGGGCCGCTTCAGTGCCTCCGGGTGCCCCGCAGGTGTCGTGCTTCCGGGAGGAGAGGGATGTGTTGGTGAACGGGGACCGGCGCTGGATCACGGAGCTGCACTTCGCCTTCCAGGATGAGAACTACTTGGTGAGCCCCAGACCCGGGGGGACTAGGGAGACGGATCCCGATCCCGAGGCCGTCAGTGAACGAGGCGGGGTCAGGGAGAAATTCTAGGCTGTCTCGAAATGGCAGCGGTGTCTCTGGGTGTGGGAGGAATTGGTCTTCCTTTCCCGGGATTGGGAGATGCCCCTTATAGCTCTTTTCACGGGCTGATTCCAGAGGACCCTGTAAAGATGCCACCGTCGGGGTGCGGGGGGCGGATCTCTTACCTGGACTGGGATAGCTCTGTACAATCTATGTGGGGGCCCCTGGGCAGGGTATTTAGGCTCTGTACTTTGGGCACTGGGAGCTCTCTGGGCTCTCTTTCCCCCTCTCTCTTTCTGTCCAGTGACATCCTGGGAGAATTAGGTTTTGGCGGGGGGAGTGTCTCTGATTTGGCCTGGGAGATCTCTTGGCCTCTCTTGGGGCTGGGGCTACGGGGTCTCTGCCCAGGGATGGGGCATCTGCGGGAGTCTTTGTCCCGGGCTATTGTCAGCGCCGAGGGG